ATATATATATATTGGTTCGGGTTGTACTTTTCTATTGTGAGGTCATTGGTTCGAATCACGTATATTAACTTTTGGACTTATTTTCTACGAAGAAAAAATATAATAAAGTTAGGAGGGATCTCCAAGTGACACTTTCCAAAAGGCGCTATCAAGAGCCATGTGGATGGTCCGGCCAGCTTGATGGAATTCAAAGGAGTTTGTCTCAAGAGCCCTACAGTGCCTTTTTACAATCCGTTGAATAACTGCAGAGAATTTCCATTCATGCTGTCTCTGGATGCTCATAAGAAAGCCTAACTGAAACTATCCCAATTTCTTTTCTCCAAGAACTATATTCGATAAATTGAAATTCATCGCGAACTTTGATTTCAATAACTTATAGTCATATTGTTTGAAGAGACGGTCCCAATAATGTCAAATTTGGTCAAATCCGAGTCAAATTAAGTCATTGTAAACCCAATAATGTTGAAATATTCAACTCACCACCAAAGCCTACTTAGACCAACTACAGTCTACGTGGTCCACAACACATTAGGCTCCTGGCTCGACCCGAGCAAGCTACAAACATCATTATAGCTCACCACTACAGCTTACGTGACCAACTATGACATACATAACCCACAGTTCATGCAACTCTCGACTCAGGCCTCTATGGACTCAGGTCACCACTATGGATTATTTGACTAATTACAACCGATGCAGTTCATAACTCGTGCAGCTCCCACTCCGGCTATTGAGACTTACATATGTCATTGGAATTCGCCATTACGCCATATTTGACCAACTACGCCCTATGTGGTCCACAACTCATGTTCTTCTTGACCCCGTCATCTGCAACTTATAAATGTCATAACAACTCACTACTACGACCCATGTGACCAATTACGTTTTATATAACTCACATTTACTACAACTTTCTATTATGATCTTCATAACCTACTCAGGCTCATACACGACAAGCTGGTACTACGACCAATGTCTACAACATTCATTATGAACTTCTGCCTCTATAGCAATCAATTACGACCTTTGCAACTCACTATCATCAAGAATTACATTCATAAAAGTCAAATTTACTTTTATCGATGAACTACTATTGTAGATTTACAATAATCAAACTTGTTAGTTGGAACTTTATATTTCCTAATTCAGGAGAAAAGTGAACATGTGTAGGAGTGTCAATTTGAATCAGCGAGTTGGGTTCAGACTCGAACCAATTTGGGTCCACCCGAACACAACTTGAAAATATTAGGGTCTCCCAAAACCTGTGTTTTTTGAGTCGTGTTCGGGTATAGTTGGCATGTCGAGTAAATTTTTTACATCCATAGATGTCAATTTGGGTAGGCAATTCGAAAATTACCTGGCCTGAATCGAGTCAACCCGAACTCGACCCGAATAATAACGGGTTGAATTTTCTGACCAGAACCCGACTTAAAAAACTATTCGGGTCAACCCGAACTTAGATATTTTGAGTCAGGTTCAGGTTTGATTCAGTGTTGGTTTAATTTTTGACAGCCCCGGATATGTGTACTCACCATTTATCGTAGATTTTTTTATTTGGTCTATGCCCCATGAATTTTTTTTTTTTTTACTTTTCTAGTGTTTTCCATGTAAAACGTTGATGATTTTCCTTCTACTTGCTCATCTTCAATTATCTGAATGTGTGCTTGGTTTTCGTGCAATGTTATGATATTAATCAATTGCTCTACACTACAAAATTTAAGCAAATTAGCGTGAGACGAATTAGACGCTAATATGGAGATATTCACCCACTAAACTTGATTTGTGTCGGATTTGCGTCAAAATAGAGGTCCAGGTAAAAAATGGGTTGGTAATGAAATTAGCGTTAAAAATTTCTAAAGCAAAACATTGCGTCGGATTTAGTATTTCTTAGTGTCTACGTGACATAACATTTAACATTATAATTTGTGTCAAAATGCGACAGAGGCAAACCAGCATGGTGTCATCATAATCTTTCATTGATGTTATATTAGCGTCACAATGTATAACGTCAAAAGAAATGTAATAATTAGCATAAGAATTCTCAACTCAAGTCTGACACAAACATATAGCAAATTTAAATATAATATAAAATAATGATCATGTATTCACAACATTTACAAATCAAATTTATATCACAAATAAGTGTCATATCACTAACAGAACATTTACAAATCAAATTTATATCACAAATAAGTGCCATTACAACTCATAATCTATATCACTAACAAATATAAAAATTAATGAAAATAAATATAATTTAATAAATATTAATCTATATGCTCGAAAGTTTCCATCCACACAGAAAAATGTTCACGTTACCACAAAAAAAAAAAAAAAAAAAACATAAACTCCTGCAATAGGAGAACATCATTATAGTTATAGCCATCATCACTCTCATCTCTCTCGTCCTACTCATCCACATAAGTCAGAAGTCACTTGCTATGAAGATATGCAATACTCTCCATCAGCTCTCATAAAGTTTCATCAACTCTCTGATGATCTGCACACATCTAATGGAGCTCTTCATTCATAGCAGTGACTTAGTATGACAAGCTTTTCATGCTTTGATAGTAACGAGATTGAGCCACCTACAGGAGCACGGGAGTGCTCAGCCTCAAATGCTAGCGCCTAGGTCATAGCCTCCCTCTTCTTCCCCGACGCCTACCTCCATATCTCAAAATCAAAATGCACAGTGCTAGACTGGCTACTGGCCAGCTTGATTTTCGGAGCTCTTCATTCATAGCAGTGACTTAGTATGACAAGCTTTTCATGCTTTGATGGTAACGAGATCGAGCCACCTACAGGAGCACGGGAGTGTAGGTGGCTTTTAACATTAATAGCCTAAGAAATGTAGAAAAATATATAATTAATTATATATGAGGAATACAAAAAGCTTTTCAAGCTTTTTGTATTCCTCATATATAATTAAAATCAATAATTAATTATCATTTTTAACATTAATAGCCTAAGAAATGTAGAAAATTAATTTTCTTGCTTATGATATGCCGACAGAGGTCGGAGCCACTTCTATGTGCCCAATTGTCGATGCATCCAAACATGCAACTGCTATGTCTTACTTATCTAACACATAAACTTCAAATTATACATAAAAATCATACAATTTCTATGCATTACATATCTAACAACTAAACTTGATTTTCGCATAAAAACCACACAATTCCCATCCATTATGTATCTAACCCCTAAACTTCACATTCTACATAAAAACCACACAATTCCCATGCATTAGATGTTTAACACTTGAAATTTCAATGTTTTTTGCGTAAAGGAGGAAATAAAAAGAAAAATCAATAATCTCATGAATGGGAGACTCGAGGGAGAAAAAAAATTATACTTAGAGGTCGTAGAGGTAGATTGCTCGCCGAAGCTGTAATTTCGATGGTGGAAGAGTGTCGGAGATGCCAGACCGCTTCATTGGAAAAATTGTTGTCTGAGATGTAAAAATGTCAAAATGTAGAAATGTGAAAAGAATAAAAGCCCGGCTGAATGAGCCTCTGTCGAGGTGGAATAGTATTTTAGGACACTTAGGTCGGATTTGCGTCGGCCTAATTTTGACACAACTTATTTAGTGCCGGTTGGAGTAAAAATTGCGTACGTTAGGGAGGTTATTCAAAGGGTATTGGGTGGTTATGTTCGGGTTATACCACTTGTAACATCCTTGTAACCTGCATGTAACCTACATATATATTAAAAAAGAAGTGCAAAACTTACTAGAAGATACAAGTAGGTTATAGGTAGGCTATAGGAGGTATAACGCGGATATAACCTCTCAATACTCCCCAATAACCTATCTGACGTACACAACCTTGCGTACGTCTTATGTACGAAAATTTTTCTTGTGCCAGTTGGCCTAACTTTGACGCAACTTATTTAACGTCTGGATTATCGTCGAAATGATTGTTGCTATCAAGTGATTATAATGGGTCTACGGATTTCATCCCGGATGTCACAAAAAAAGTTACTTTGACATGGAGGCAATCATAAATCTGACCCTAAAACTTATATAATCATACATACTTTTGATGAGCAGCAGCAATAATACAACAATTATGAAGTCCCCAAACCATATCAAGAACATATAATTCTCATGCATAACATAGCATCAAGCAGAGAGAGACAGAGAGAGATACAGGGAAGAAATTAATGAGGACTAACGGAGATCGGAGAACTTGGATTTGATCCACTTAAAGCTGGATCTGACGGAGGATTTGAGCTTGCCTTCCATGGTGAGGATGTTGTAGGCGGCCACGCGGCGTTTCCGCTTTAGCTCCGGCTCGCTTGGCCCCTTCCTCGGCCCGTTGAAGCTGTAGGAGTGGCTCTTCTCCCGCTCCTCCTCCCGCCCGAAGCCGCTGCTGTAGCTCGCCGACGGAAATGACCTGCTTTTCTCCATCTCCGATCTCTCTGGCCCCCTTTACACACAGAGAGTGAGTGGTGGGAGATGGAAGGGGGAAGAAGGCAGGCAGGGGAAGCAAATAAATGGTGTCATTATAGCCTATAGGGACCCAATTTTTAACCAAATGTTTTTTGGGGCAATTATATATAGAGAACCCCAAACTAATTCCTATTTACAAATATATCGCTGTTCTTCGACAATTTCTTAAATTCTCACTCAAATATCAAAATTCATAATAAAACTCTAATCTTATGATTTAATCATAGCATACGTAGATACATCGCTTTAATAATTCAAAAATATCATTTGGGTGTTACAAAAATATTACATCGGAATGACATGCATCTGAATTAGGTGCAGATGGTGTTATTGATATTATTGTAGTGTTATTTTGATAAAATAATATCAAAATACTATCAATAACACTTAAATACTGTCATCTATGAATAGAACTGTTGATATAATATTTACTTCTAGGTGTTATATTTGTTTAGAGAGCTATGTATGTAGTTTTTGCTTTTAAGGAATTATATATGTATAATTATATAAATATTTGAATAGTATTTAAATGATATAAATTATGTAATTTTGATTAAAACTAAATATAGAGCAAATTTATAAAATATTTAGATTGTTTTATAGAGAAATAGAATAAATATTATAAAAAATTATTTGTTCTAATTTTGTAGATCGTTATAATAGAAGTTAGGTAAGATATCTAAATCAATATTTTTTTTATTAACAAAATTATAACATATTTTTTAAAAAAAATTATGGGCTAAATGAGTAATTAAAAAATAAAATAAAAGCAATCCAATACATTTTGGAAAGAGATTCATGAGAGAATATGAGATGGTGAGTCCCACGTGCGTCGTGCCATCAGCTTTTTCTCGCTCACGCTTTCGGCGTTATCTTTTTCTAGGGATTTACATACATACCACAGAATTCTTATGTATTTACATATCTACCATCAAAATTTTTAAATTTACGCACATGTCATTCAAATTCTTAATATCTCATAAAATATAACATTATTACCATCTTTTACAAATAAAATACACATAAGTTTAAAACATCAAATATGTAAATTCAAGATTAGAAATGTGAGTGCATTAGAATTAAGGTTGTCAAAATGACTTGTTGTTCGTGAACATATCTTGTTCAGCTCGTTGAGAAGCTCGTGTTCGGCTTGTTCGCTAAGTTAACGAGCAGAACATAAACAACACAGATAAATATTTGTTCGTTTTTGTTCGGTTCGTTTTAGATTGAAATACTACCAATCAATTATATATTTATATATGTATATGAGTAGTATTTTTTTAAAATCGGTTCGTTTTAGATTGAAATACTACCAATCAATTGTATATTTATATATATATATATGAGTAGTATTTTTTTTTTTAAAATATTTGACTACAAGGCTACAAAGATTTATAATGAATTAATAGTATTAATGAAGAAAATAGAATAAAAAATATTAAATTAGATTCAAATGATGTTTTAAATCTTGCCCAATCTATAACATCTTATGGCTACTTGATTATGGTTGTCAAAATGACTCTTTGTTCGTGAACGACTCATGTTCGGCTCGTTAAGCAAACGAGCCGAACACAAACACACTTTCTGAGCTCGAAATATAAACGAACCGAACACGAGCTGAGCCTTTACACCCCTAATTAGAATTATGGGCTATAGTGCAAATACTCCTTTTATTATTATTATTTTTTGGATGCCTTTTTTTGTATTTACCAGAAAATTAAAACCCAAGATTCTTAATGATGAAGTCATTGGTTAGGCCCGGTATGCAGCCTTGAACATGATAGCTTAAAATTGTCTTCAATAAGTTTACTTTATAGATGTTATTTTTAATTTGATTTTAAATTTGTTCTTATTAATAAAATGCCATAAAAATTTTTATTTTATTCTTTTATTGGAAGAAAATGAATCTATAATAATGGTATAAAAATGTGTGCTCTAACTTTCATTTGACATGAGTGGTGTGTTTGTGAGGGTGCATGAATTTTGAGATAGAAATAAGTTTACTCGTGCACAAATTTGAGCAGTGAGAATTTCAAAAAATTAGATTATCAGTGTTCATACCTATAATCTTGGCTTATGAATGTGGTTTAGGATCATAAAAATGAGTAGGATTATATCGTATGATCAGGTTGACAACCTGTTACACAATCTACTTAATTATGCTATAATCTTAGACATACAATTGCATAGCTACTTTTTTAAGAATTATCATATATATATTTTACAACATTTTTCATAAGTATTTTACTCACTAAATAAATATTTCATGCACATTTTTTTTATAATCTTCATAGAACTTTATTGATTCGAGCATTGGTTAAGTATGCCAATGAAATTTCAGCTAAGTTATGAAATTGATATATGACTTAATTGCTTTAGCCATATCCTAAATAATCATTTTTCTCTTTTTTTTTTTCATCAAAAGGAGAACAAATAGCATTAAAAGCAATAGAATTTGATTAATGCATAATGTTAGTTGAGGAAATCAATCTACTTGAGGTATAACATTGTTCTCCCGTACATATTTGTTTTCAATAAATATTAAATCCAATATGTTTGCTAGTAATATTCCTTTATGTTAAGTTTATTTAAGTTATCTTAGAATTTTTTTTTATAAGTATTTACAATCTAATTTGTGGTATGTAGATGTGTACAAAGTTCTATGCATTCAAATATAGATAAGTATGCTAAGGCTTGACATATTTTCTCTAATATGTTATCTTTTTATATTGGCATTAGTTAGATAAGATATAAAAAAAATCTAAGTAGTTTAATCTAAGTGTTTGACTTATATGTGTGTCAAATATGATTTATAAGAAATTAAAGAAGTGATGGTACTTTAATATTGAGATCTATAAGTCATTCACCAACTGGTATTTTCATGGGAAATCTCATTTCTATTTAGAATAAATACTTTCGTCTTAACCTATTACAATATATTATATGCTTTTTGATAGAATCTTCCTTCTGTGCCATGTTCATTATGCCTAGGTTATGACAAGAGTTTATCTTAGTAAATTTATAAATTTTTTCGTGTTGCCATGAGTAGCCCATGTAATATCATAATATTTTAGAATCTTTATAAAAATATATATGAGAATTACAATGTAGTTTTTATCTATGATTTTAAATCTCAAGTAATTCCTATGATTAGATTTTTCAATCCATTCTATAGTATACACTCTTGTTTCTAAATGTTATGTAACTGTTTGGTTATATCTAATTTTAAGTTTATCATGCTATTTGTATGTCTTTAACTCCACTTCTATGTTATTGTATATATTTGCTTTTAAATAAGATCAAATTTCTATATTGATTATAAATATAAGGGTACACATTTGTAAATTGCACATTATTCATGTCATAACATCAAAGTCTTGCGCAGGGCAGATAACTTCAAAGTGCAAGCTTCTCCTTATTTATCAATTGGTTATCCAAGATTCATGTTTTTTAAAACTGCAAACAATTTTATTAAGACTTAGTTTAAAATTTTTCTTATTTTAGTTCATTAATTTAACTTGGTTACTTGGAAATACATGCATGCATCTTTAAATTTGCTTGAAAATGTACTAAAGATAGACTTAGGGATTCAATATGCTACTCAATTTGGATATCTCTCCTTTCATTTTGTGGTTGAAATATCTTCAAAAAAGTCAGTTTGGTGAACTCCATGCCCTAATTAAGTGGTTTTTTTTTGTAATAAAATCATATGATTATGTTCATTATTGTTATTCTTACTTCAAATCTTTCTCTTCCACCATTTGATCGTGAAAGACTCATTCATCTATTTCAATGTTTATTGTTCACTAGTAAAATATTTGGAGCATCCATAGTTTATTATCATTGCTCCATACTGCACTCCAATTTCATTTTATCATTTCTTCCCCATCCATCTCCATAAGAAAAAAGTTCCAAAACCTTCTACGAAACCTTAGATATTTGTCTCAAACCCATCATAATAGTCATCTCATAACATCAATTTACCACTACCAACAAATGCTTTATATCATTTAGCACTCACTGCATCCCCCTTGTTTTAATTGGTATCAAAACACACCACCATGATAATGTCCATCACTTCCAAAGCTCTTTAACATTAAAAATCTTCCCTTAGTTTTATTTTCTTTTTACTTTTGTATTAAAGAAAATAATCAATACTAATTGTTAGTTTTTTTTGCTTATATATCATCATTATATATCAAAATAATACTATGGATCCAATATGATATAAAGGCTAAATATTGAATTATGATACTTATATCAATATTTTTAATTATGTCATTCAATTTTTTTTTTAAAAGTAAAATGCACGTGTTATGAATATGATATCAACATATTCTTAGTATTAATTAACTTTTTAAGAAGTTAATTACACATTTAACCCCATTTGTTAAAAATATAAATATTAAATTTAAGCGTCAGTGATATGTAAATACATAAAAATTGTGTGGTGAAAATTTTATAATATTATTGTCATTACCTAAATTTAAAAAGATATAAAAAATCCTCAAATAAAAATGATTGAAGTTGAGCTCCGCAGTAGTGCTCTCTCCACTTTTACCCTCCACTTGCTTTATCGGCACCTGCAGTAGCGGAAGTGGCGCATCAGCATCAGTCTCACATGGCCGTAGCTATCCTTTCTCCGCCAGAATTTTAGTCTGTAATTTATAATTATAATTGATCTGAATAGCAATGATGTATATATTAACACACATATAAAAATATAGCAATATGAATCTGCTTTGCAGGTGAATGCCTCGAGTCGGACATAGCCTTCAACGATTGTTTTTGGATGAATATTGGCAAGAGAAGCACCTTGTTTTAACAATCGGTAGGATTTAGGAGAAGCTCCCGTAATACATTAATCAGTCTCAGAACGATCAATGGAGAACACTCTTTTTTACTAGATATCGATCGAGTCATGACTTGCCAGACAATCAACAACTCTCATTGATTGATTCGACCTTCGGTCTTATCATATGCAAATAACTTTGTAATTACTAAAAAATCAATCTTAAAAGCTAATAATGAGGGGGATAATATGTATTTTTATAATATTAAGACATAAGCCTATCAATAGAAGTACATGTTATGAATAAGACACTCTCTTTTTACTGTTCACTCCCGCTCCTCTCTCTCACTCCCTCTCCCTTATCACTTCCAAACAGAACGTTCAATTCCTTGGTGTTTTCGAGACCCTTAGATTCCACAATTAAACAGTGTGTGTGTGTGTGTCAGTTTCAATTTTGTATGGTCGAGGACATGTAACATTCAGGTTAGACTTTTGAATCCATTTAATTTACAAGCGATGGTCGA